ATTTGATGAGGGATTCTGTCTCTTCGCGATTATTTTAAGAAAACAATGTTATTTCTTTCGCAAATTTTTTACTGAGGTAAGGTAAATAACGCTCTGTTCGCAGGGTAATAAGCATATGTAGTCTGTCTACTCGTAAGTCTTAAGCTTATATCGATTTTRTTGATCATCGGTTCATCGATTACTCCCGGGATATCAAAATGACGCAGACATGGCGGCGCAACGAASTGAACAAAAACACAACATAAACTGAAACTTACCTTGATTTGCTGCAACATTTTTCSAAACTATTTTCTGGCGACTTTTATCACATTCCAGTCGCTAACAAATCAGAATTAAGTGCACCACTCCGCACCGCAGACTTCCAGAATATGCAATGCTCATACGATATACGCTCGAAGGGGTTTAGTTGAAGGGAAGAGAAAAGACCGCGGAAAACTGAAACTAGCCTCGAGTGCAAGTTTAAACAGGTAGCCCACGTTTCCAGGAGAATACACTTCGATAAAAAAATGGCAATACTCCAGTTTCGATATCTTATTTGTGTTTCCGTTAGGTTTCCTCACCTTATTTTTGTTTTCTTTAGGTCTACTAAGAAAAAAACAAAACAAAAACATTTAATATGGACACACTGACCAGTTGCATGAATTCCAACTATTTTCTTGACAAAAACTTGGTATTGCTTGCAATACCAGTGAATGAMAACATTCACTATATTGTAATAAAAACATTTACAAACAAAAGAAAAACAAAAAAATATATTTTTTTAATTAACATAAACGACCACTAAATTCAAAAACCACCTCTGCAGTGTGATGTAACATGACAACCCAAACTTCCTTAAATGTTTAAATTTCTTTTTGCGTCTGGAACATTCAAATGGTTTCTCTCCAGTGTGAGTTCGTAAATGTTTTTTCAAGTGATTTTCTTGTATAAACGTCTTCCAKCTATAAGAACAGTGACTTAAAAAGGTTCTCCTCATACCAGTGTGAATTCCCAAAATGAATTTATTATCTCCATTCCTTACAAATTTCTTTTTACAGCAAGAACATTCAAATGGCTTTTCCCCAGTGTGATTTTGTACCTGAAATTTCAAATATTCCTTACGTGAAAATTTCTATTCACAGTACATATAAGAGCATTCAAAGGGCTAATCCGCAGCATGTGTTTTTAAATGTGAGTCCG